AAAAACTGGCTGGAGAAGCACTGGGAAATGAGTTGCTCTCACAGCTGAGAGGTTCTTTTCTTGCTGACCAACCTGACTCCCTCCTGAATCACCCTTCAGCTCACTCGCAGCTGCCCAAGCCTCAGTCCCTTAGCAACAGCGGTGGTGCCTTTAGTCTGGCCACCGAGAGGGGGAGGGGCAAGATGGACTATGGAGGTAAGGAAGGTGTTTGGGAAAATATGCACGAACCTGGGGAAATTTGGTTGCTCCACAACTTTTGAAGCCTTGGAACAGAATCAGTTCACCGGCCAAGGAAGTAAGGACCCCACGGATTATCTGCTTACATTACTAGAGTTTTCTAGGAATAAAGTATGTGCCAAGGGAGACTCTTATTATGAATAGAGCATCCCTGATAAGCTGGGCGCTTGGAGAGCAAGCAAAAGAGGAAGCAGGAGGCTCTGTCCCACATCTGTGGGGTAAAACAAAGTATTCTCAGGAAACAGAATCAACAGCCTATGAATGACAAATTACACAATGAAGTTATTGGAACAATGATGTAATTAAAATAATAATATTAATTAGAATAACCCATTATTCAAGAAGGCTTCGTGGAGGAGATAGATCTTGATAGACTTTGTAAAGAAAGAAGGGACCCAATTAAATAAAAAGATTAGGGGATATATCTAGCCAGGCCTTCTGGATCTGGCGCTGCCTATCTTTCCAGCTTCATTCTGTGCTGTCACTTGCTGTGTTCCAGCCCTTTGTGCCAGCCTTTGGTTCTTGAACACCAAGTTCTTTCCTGCCTCATCGCCTCTTCTGCTGTTCCTTCTGCTTCCTGCTTATTCTGTCTTCCAAACTTTGCCCTGTTCACCGTATGTATGACTTCTTTAGAGGTGTCATCCCTGCCCCTGGGTGTTAAATTACCTTCTTATGTTTTTAATTATCACGTATAATGATATATTTATGTGTTTATTTTTTGTTTAATGTCTGTTTTCCCAGTAAACTATAAATTCCACTGGACACTTAGCAACCAGCCCAGGTGTCTGGCCCATGGTGGGTAAAAAATAATAAGCATTTTTAAAATAAATGTAGGATTAGAAGGTGTGGGACGTGGGAGTGAAGGGGAAAAAGTGCTGGGCTGAGGATTCTGCTGAGGAGTTTTATTTGGCATGAGAAGCAGAAGGAAGCCACTAGTGAGTGACATCTTCTCCCTATCCGCCCTTGAAAATATTTATATTGTTGACTTTTTTCTGATTATAAAATATACACTATTCCAAAAAGGTTATATTGCAAACTTGCACCAAGAAAAAGAGACTGTATTGGAAGTATTTGAGGATACAGAACAACTAGAACTCTCATATGTTACTAGTAAGGACATAAATTGGTTCAAACATTTTGGAAAACTATTTAGCAGTAGCTACAAAAGTTAAACACATACTCCAAATCTAGCAATTCCACTCCTCAGTGTTTACCCAGTAGAAATAAGTCCATATTCACCAAAAGACTTGTAAAGAAAGGAATGCTCACAGCAGTTTTATTAATAAAAGACAAAAACAGAAACAATCCAATGGCCAACAATAGTAGAATGAATGAACTGTAGCATAATTATGCAATGAAATATATATAACAATAACAAAGAACAATACTGCTAGACCCTACAACATGGATAAATCTGAGAAACATCTGTTGAATGACAGAAACCAGACACAAAAGAGAACATACTGTCTGACTCCATTTATATGAAGTTCAAGAACCAGCAAACCAATCAGTGGTGATCGAAATGGGAATAGTGGTCACTGGGGGTTTACCAGGTCTAAAGGGGCACAAGGGAGCTTTCCCACGTGTCAGAAATGCTTTGTATCTTATTATGGGTGGTGATTACATATGTAATGTATAGAGTCACCAAGGTATACATTAAGATTTGTGCGCTTTACTGTGTGCATGTCTGTAGGAGACTGTTCTGCATGGCGTGGGCCCAACTCCCACTCGGAGATGCACAGGACCCACGCCCACGGATAAGTTCTCCCATGGAGAATCAGGCCTGCAATGTATCTAGGCCACTTTGAGACTTGCTTTTGCTAAAACTCCCTCACCCTGAATTGACACAGCAAGTGCTTACTGTAACTTCCTAAAATCTATGCTAAAACTCCCGAGTATGGAGTATACCCAGTTCAATCACTTTTCCCTTTGCATTTGCAAATATCCTTCTTCTGTGATGTGATTAGTGGCATCATCTCCTTTGTTTTCTGTAAAAGGTAACCACCTAAAGGGAACCTGTGCATAGTAAGTGAGGACCATCATATAATGTGCAGAGAAACCCAATTAAGGCTGGTCACGGCAAGGGCCTTGGCTTTTGCTCTCCTTGAGAGAGAAGCCATGCTCGCCCTTTTCCTCCACAGGACTCCGTAGTCCGTGTGAATGTCTCATGTCTCATCCACAATGTGGCGGACCCCAGGAGCCGGGATCCGTGTCACATGTCATATCCCAACAAAAAATTTAAAAAGGAACATTCGAGCAACACAGAAATGTATACACTATAAATTAAAGGTTTCCTTTTCTAAAAGAAAACTACAATTAACATTTTGACATATGTCTACCTGAACCCCTTTGAGCATATCCATCTCTTTCGTCACACGATCCCTGATATCCACCTTATCCCCAGCACTGGGTCTGTGTATAGCACCAAACCAAGCCACATAGCCTAAGGGTTTCTCTCTTCATGGTGACAGCACTACACGGCGTCACATAAAGAGTGGTAGGAAACACATGACTTACAAAACCAAGTCACAACCTGTGCTGTAAAGGAATTTACAGTGTGAGGGGAAGGACCACAAGGACCACAAACCAAACAAAACTCCCAAGAGCTATACTACTATGACGTATTAGTTTCACAGGGCCATTAAAGTGATTCCAGTTATTGTACAAGTAATGAAACTGTTGTATAGAGCTGACATACAGACTCATGATTAAACTAAGGAGCTTCAACCCCACCCTGACTGGCGTGGACTGGTATGGCTCAGTTGGTTGAGAGTTGTACTGTAAAGCAAAGGGTCAGCGGTTTGATGCCAGTTCTGTGCCAGCTCTATCCAGGACCAGGGCACATGCCTGGGTGGGGTGCTGGGTAGGGTCCCATATTGGGGCACATGGAAGAGGCAACCCATCAACGTTTTCTCTCATACATGGATGTTTCCATGGATGTTCCTCTCCCTCTCTCCCTTTCCCTCTCTCTATCTCTTTTTTAGAGATTTTATTTATTTATTTTAGATGGGGGAAGAGAGGGAGAGAAACATCAATGCGTGGTTGCCTCTCACGGCCCCTGGCCTGCAACCCAGGGCGATTGGGAATCAAACCAGCGACCCTTTGGTTCACAGGCCGGTACTCAATCCACTGAGCCAGACCAGCCAGAGCCTTCCCCTCTCTACAAACAAACAAACAAACAAACAAACAAACAAACATATATTTTTAAGTTTCAACCATGAGAAGTAGTGATTACAGATATTATTCTCATTTTATTCTTTTTAAAGACTTTATGTATTGATTTTTAGAGAAAGGCGGAGGGAGGGAGAAATAGAGGGAGAGAAGCATCAAGAGGATGCCCAAACCAGCCAGGGACCCTCCTTTTTAAGGAATGAAGAAGTTGAATGACTTGCCCGGACTGCTAGTGAAAGAGTTGGGACTAAAACCTAAATATTGTACTCCTAACTCTTCGGTTCTCCAAAATCTGACATCAGCGGCTTCTCCCCACCCCCAGGTGGAAACAGCAAGCTGACGGACCCTGAGCTCCGCGGGCCCGGCTTCCAGAGGGAGACGCCTGTGAGAGGGGCCCGGGTGTGCGCGAGCAGCAACGAACTTTCTGCAAAGGGTGCGGTGGTCCGGGGTCACCTGGTGCTACGCCCCCTCCTGCCCTCCTCCGCACTGTCTGGGGAGGGCTGAGGCTGCACTTCCTCTAACTCGGCGTGCCCATCTCACCGCAGACCCCCGATGGGGGTGGGCTGCCTCGACTCGGGGATCCACGTTCCCCGGGGGTGCAGAGGCTCCCTCCTCCCCGGTTTCTACGCCCCTCACTCCTCTTCCTCTAGGTTCTCCCAACCCCTCCGCGTTCCCTCGGTCCCAAACTCTGCCTCTTATCCCTGCCCCCTCCCCTACCTTCCTGAGCCTCCGCACGAGCCAGACCCTTCCCACCACCACCACCCCAAGGCGGACATTGTGTTTTCTCCATTGCACAGAACTTTTGTCTATTTTCTACATTTCCTTGTCGTCTTGGACAAGGACGCAGGCCCGCTGCCTTCACACAGCACAGCCCGCCGCCGCCCCCAGGGTGGCGGGGAGCGTTGCGGACCCGGGTCCCCGCCCTGAGATGAAGGTGGGGCGCAGCTGCTCGGGGCTCGACGCGGGCAGAGCGACGTCCGAGTTCCCTCTCCGTTCTCGCAGAGACGTCCCGGCCTGAGGCTTGGGAAGGACACGAACTTGACTTTCAGTGTGGAGAAGGGCAGATGACTAACGCAGGGAGGGGAAGGTGGCTGCCGGGAGTCAGTCGCAGCCGTGCCCGCCCCGACCCCAGGCTGGAGGGACTGTGGCTTCGGGTCCCAGTCCGCACGCCCACGCCCACGCCCACGCTCCACTCGCGCACCTTCCGAAACGAAACGGCCTCCAGCGGTGCCTTGCGGGGGGCTGCCAGACCCGCCCCGCCCGCCCGCCCTCCCTCCAGTCCGGTCCCGGTGCGAGCCTCTGGGGGCCGCAGGACGCGGCTGGAGGCCGAGGGTCCCTTCCCCGCCCCCACCGCCGGTTTCTGGCTCCGCGATCCCCTCCCTTCCCCGCCCGCCCCCGGCGGCTGGCGAGCGCGGTGCAGCATGCGGCAAAGCTCTTTGCATAAATTATGCTCATGACGCAGCAGCTAAAAAAATCCAAGTAGCAGAAGGAGGGGAAAAAGGGGGGAGGAAAAAAGGGGGGGCCGTGGAAGGGGAAAAAGAAGAAAAATATATATACCTGACCACCCCACCCCCACCCCAGCTTCCCCGGCCCGCTTCCCCGGCGTCCCGCCCCCGCCCCGCGCAGCCCGCGGAGTCCCCTCCGGCTCCGTCCCTCCCGGGCTGGGGGCCCGGGGGCGGCGGCGGGTCCCGACCGGTTCCTGGGCCGAGCCGAGCCGAGCCAAGCCGCACTGGCTTCTTTGTCTACAGGCGGCGGCCGCCCCGGGCCCCGGCCTCCCGGCCCGGGCTGTGAGATGAATCTCTAATCGGTAGCCACCAGGCACCCGGGGCGAAGGCGGCTCGGGCTCGGGCTCGGGCTCCGGTAAGTAGCGGGGTCCGGGGCGGGGAGGGGTTTGCACGGAGGGGGAGGGGGCCGGGCAGGGGAGGTTTCGGGTTTGGTTAATATGCAATGCCCGTAATTAGCATAATTTATATATTTATGATAAAGAGAAAAAAATGCCGCGGGGCCGGGGCTCCAGGTTACTGGGCCGGGCGGCCGGGAGCTCTGGGAGTGGGACAGCGCGCGGTCTCCCGCCTGGGGCCGGGGAGCCCGGGGCCGCGCCCTAGCCTGTCCGCGGACTGGCGGAGACCCCGGGAGGGGCGGGGGCGGCCACCAGGTGGACCCCGCAGGAAGCCTGCACCTGGCCCCTCCCCGTTTCTGCTTCTGGAGCCCAGGTAGGGTACACACCGTGGAGCACATTCTGCACTCAGTCCCCGTGGCGACCAGGAGCGGATTCTTGCCCCACGGGAGAACCCGGACGCCTGGGTTCCCGGCGGTTAAGGTCGGCGGAGGCGGCCAAGGCTACCTGTCACAATTCTATCTGATCACAATACACCGGGAGGGTTGGTGGGACTCAGGGTTAGGGACCTGGCGTTGCTGGAAAGGTTGGAGGGTCACCATTGAGCAGAGCATGAGTACTTCATAAATATTTAATAACAATATTATTATTAATAGATCGTCATAATAATGGGCCCTATATATGCTCTCTGGGCACTCTCACCTGGCAAGGCCCAGGGGGGCTAGTAACCTCCACTTTAGCGTTGGGATCCCTCATTCAAATATGATCGGAAGCCTAAAACCTGCACAAAATAGCCTCAGCTGCTGGGCGGGGGAAATCAAATGCAGTCAGAAAGCCTTCCTGGGCAAATGAAAGAAGTTCTTTGCAGAGATTTTAGCCTCATCTGCTCTTTCTGCATCCTTGTTCCAAAAGTAGAGGGCTGGTCTTCGGTTGTTCATGGACACTCCCCCCTCCCACCCTGATCTTGGTCGTCTGAGGCAGCCCACATTGATGGACAAGCAGTGCCTTCTGTGGAGGGATTCCATGGAGGGTTCCATTTGGATTGAAGTCCTGGTGCTCTCTGTGATGTTTCTGTGACCTGGCACTTTGCTCTCTGCAGTAGAACTTCATTCATTTGTTCACTGGTCCCACAGAAATACCTACTGTGTGCCACATTCTAAACAATACAGATAGAACTTCCTCTGTCATGGAGTTTTCATTTCAGTTTGGGGGACAGGCAGATCATGAACATGGAAACAGACAAGATACTATCATGTGATGTGACATGTGTGTGTGATGGGCTATTTCTTCTCTTGAAGGTACTACCTGGCAATTAAAAAGCCAGAGAAAAATTGCTTCTCTAAGGGTTTTCTGCATTATTAAGGAATACAAGATTAGATCATTTGCCACTCCCCAAGATTTACTCACTATAAAGTCATAATAATCTTTTACATTTTTATAGCACTTTATAATTAAAAACATTTTTATGCATGCTTATTTCAATTACAAATAATGGCAGCAGCAGTAACAATTACATGATGTTTGCTGTGTGCCAGGCCCTGCTCTGAGTGCCTCCCACGAATGTCATCAATTTAATCCTCACAATTATCCATGAGATGGGTAGTGTAATTTAGCCCCATTTTACAGATAAGGAAACTGAGTCTTAGAGGGCGTTACTTGGGGCAGAAGTAACACTCAGCTTGGGTCTTCTGCCTTTAAACACCAAGCTCTTTCTGTGTCAAAATGAGGGACAGTGAGGCCAAAGACCAAGTGATACCCTGGGGAGAAACTGGCCAGGGGAAGGAGGGCTTGGGAATGAGGAGCAGGACAGGCACGTCAGGAGGGGTTAGTGTGACCAGGGTTGTCCAGAACCCAGTACTACTTTGAAATCATTTTAGGTAGCCCAGAACTGGAAATAGGGGCAAAAGATATGAAATAGGACATGTATTTGAGGGAGAGCATAGGAAATATGAGGGGGCTAAGCGGTATGATCTGATTTCTACACTATATTATATTCATCGGCTCCCTGGTGAGTACCAGGTATTACACTAGGCACTGGGCTGTGAGGATAAGTAAACACACCTTCTTGGAACTTACAACCTGGTGAGGGAACACACCTACTTTTTATTTTGCACGTTTTATTTGCCCCCTCCCTTCACCTTGCCTGGGATGAATCGAGTTTGGGCACAAGGGCAAAGGGGCAGAGGGATAAACTAACCCTAACTTTGTCCTTACAAAACTAGTCGTTACTGTTTGACTCTATATGTCTAAGATCACAAATGGTATGCTGGAGAAGGGGAAATAAAGTTGTTCACTCCTTCCCTATCACTTTCCCTAGCCCTTCCTCCCAGCCCCTGTGTGTGCCTAGCCAGCCTACCACCAGCTTGGCAAGCCACCCAGAGCTGCCCAGGGCTCCATGGTCTGAGGCCGGAGGTCTGCGAGCTACCTTTTTCCAAGTGTCCCAATCTTTGGGTGCCAGGATAGCCCCTATCGGCCGTTGTTCCACTTTCCGAGAGGAGGCATGGTGTGGTGTGAGGAGGCATGGTGTGGTAAGAGGAGGGTAGGGGTCTGGGGCAGGTGAACACCTGTCGAAGTTTGAATTGGCCACTGCCTCTCCTGTGTCCTTGGGAAAGTCACCTGACCTTTCTCTGTCTCCATTTTCCTGCAGATAAAAATGTGGATCATAATAAGAGCACCATGCTAAGCATTTTGGTTACATGATCTTATACCATCATTATAACAACCCCATCAGGCTTGCCCATTTAATCACCATTTACAAATAAGGAAATTACACTTCAGAGAGATTAAATCAGCCGCCCAAGATGGCACAGCTATTTCATGGCCAAGCTGGGATTTGAAGCCTATACCCTTACCCCTCTTTGATCCTCAACCTTCTCATCTGTGAGAATGGGGGTAATAATAGCTAATTGTCCTTAGTCCTCTGTACAATAATTCTAGGGCAAGCTCTGTTATTACTGATCCCTGAGAAAACAGAGAGGTAACTGCCCTACTGTGGACAGTCACACTATTGGTCAAGCTTCAGGTTGTGTTTGCTCTGTGGCCTCATGAGGCTAGTGTCAAGGCTGAATAATAATAGTTCACATTTGTTGGGCCCTTATACAACTTACTATAGCACCATCCACATTTCAGATATGGTGAAGGAGAGGGACATGGAGAGGTCAGGCCTTTGCTCAAGGTTTCCCAGCTAAGAAATGGTGAAACTGAGAGATGAACCTAGGTTCTTAACTGCTACGCTCAATTGAAATGAGATAATGTATGTAAATTTTATAATAGCTACCATTATCTGAGCACTTATTAAATGCCAGGCATTGATCTAAATTTTTTACATGCATTAATTTATTAGTAGGTGCCATCACTCTCATTGTTACAGATGAAAAAACTGAGGCATTAAATCATTTGTTCCAAGTCCCACAGCTAACAAGTATCAAAGCTGAGGTCATGAAAGAAAGCTGTCTGTAGAGGATCCTCACTTGTGATACTACGTGTTAAGGGCCTGGTCCCCATAAACTGGCAGTGATTATTATTCTTCACCGAGTGGGAAGGGAAATCTGTGTCCTGGGGCCAGAAATGGAGAAGGGTGGGAGGACATAGAGAAAGTCCATCAGGCAATGACAGCTGGAAAGAGGTGGTGGAATGCCTGGAGTCTGGCCATTTAAAAACAGGGCAAGTAGCCCCAGCTGGTGTGGCTCAGTGGATTGAGTGCTGGCCTGTGAACTAAAGGGTCGCTGATTCGATTCCCAGTCAGGGCACATGCCTGGGTTGTGGCCCAGGTCCCCAGTAGGGGGTGCATGAGAGGCAACCACACATTGATGTTTCTGCCCCTCTCTTCCTCTCTCCCTTCCCCTCTGTGTAAAATTAAATAAATAAAATATTTAAAAAGGAAAAAAGAACAGGGTAAGTAATAAAGAACAGGGCAGGTAGTACTTGTGTGCAGAAGGGCATGTGGTGTTCCTTCACACTAGGCACTAAAGCTGCATGGGCCAGGGGAATAGTGATAGGAAGAGGGGGATTCTGGGCATATTGGAAGGGAGAGCCAACAAGATTTGCTAAAGGAGTAGATGAGGGATAAGAGAGAAGGCAAGGATGATGGCAAGGTTGTTGGCCTGGGCATCTGGAAGGATAAAGCTTTCATTTGCTGCGATGGGGAAAGCTGCATTCAGGCGCAGCAGATCTGGGGTGGAAAGCAGGAGTTTTGTTTTTGATTCGCTGAGTATGAGATGATGTAAGCAACCTGTAGGCCATTGGATATATGAATCTAAAGTTCCCAGGTGAGGTCCAAGCAAGATTTAGATTTGGTAGTTGTCAGGGGCGGAGGGGAAGAGTGAATTGTCTGCCCCATTTTGCTCAGCCCCAGCTACAGGTCTGTACCTACCTCCTACCTACTTCCTGTGCTTGTGGCCTGTTTGAATAGCAACTCTGTAGAAGGTGAGTGGGTGCACAATTTAAATATGAAAGTGGTGTAGAGCTGAAGATGCTGATGTCTGCAAACAAACTCCCCTGTGAGAATTATATAAAAAAGGTGAAATGTAATTTCCCCTGAAAAAAAATGTGACTTGTGACTTTCTGTCAACTGAATATCAGTAAAACTAATTTCAGCTCAAGCAGCCATTCCTTGGAGTCAACTGACTTCACACAGAGTACCCTCCACCCCCCAAAATGACTGTATATTGAGAAGGTGTTTTACACCTTGAAAACCTCAGCCACATGAAATGGTAAGGGAGTAAAACCACAGAAATGAGTCTGAGTTAAAAGTCTGAATGCCATACAAGTGCCATTTTCCTGTACATGGCATAAGATTGTTCATACCTAAAATTTCATGTCTGAAACACATGCCATTCTAGAACAAAGGGGAAAGGACCACACAAAATTTCATTGGGCATAGTTTCTGTACATCCTCTACCACTCTGTATGCGCCTACTGTGACCCCTAACACCCTGTATTGTCCTTATGTTTTCATTTCCTTGACTGTCATGCGAGGGAGGCTATAGACTTCTTGACAAAGCTGGGGAATGTGTTTTTCCCCTGTTGTATTCCCAACACTCAGCATATAGTAACCCCCGAAATGTTTGTTGAATAAATGAAGGACAAAGCATTTCAGATTTTTCCTATGTGATCTTGGGCTATTTTAGGGGGTTCTGATTTACTTGAGATTTACCAGTGTTCCTCTGGGTGTCTTGGAATGTGGCCCTTAGCCTAAAGCAATTCCTAAAGGAGAATGGTAAATAGAACCAGGTCCCGTAACTCATCTCAGTCCCCTCCACTGCAAGACCTGGATGGATGGTCCTGGGCCTCTGGATTTTTAGGTTTTGGCAAATGCCTCAACACCTGCCATTCATTCCCCCCTGAGATTGCCTGCATCTTTAGATGTTAGCACAGGAAAGCCAGAGATAAATGAGCCAGCTGTTAGCCAAGCAGGGCACCTTGCCAGGTTTGCCTCAGGTTGAGTTTTCAAACTCAACTCCCTGGAGAAAGAAGGCAAAAGAGGAGGCTATGGGTAGGCTCTGGCTCCCCAGCCCCCAGCTTCCACCAGAATTGTCCAAATCATTTTTGTCATTATTTACATTTTTAAATAGTTCTTCAAGCCCTGGCTGGTGTGGCTCAGTGAATTGAGCACCAGCCTGGGAACCACAGGGTTGCTGGTTCAATTCCCAGTCAGGGCACATGCCTGGGTTGCAGGCCAGGTCCCCTGTAGGGGGCACGTGAGAGGCAACGACACCTGATGTTTCTCTGCCTCTCTTCCTCCCTTCCCCTCTCTCTAAAAATAAATAAATGAAGTCTTTAAAAAAATAATTGAACCAAATTTATTAAAAATATTTCTTTAAATGTTGTTTTATTTGTTGTATTTATTCAAGATACTAAAATTTTCATTTTAGAACTCAGTTTATAGAACCAAGCCCTAAACTGACGATCATCAGGATACCTTTACCTAAGCCAGTGATTTTCAACTGGTGTGCTGCAAGAATTTTTAAAACATGCAACATCTGACTATTTAGTCAGGAGCACTGACCTCTTCTCCCTTAGATTGTCAAATAAGAAAATGACAACAGCCCTGGCTGGCATAGCTCAGTGGATTGAGCACAGGCTGAGAACCAAAGGGTCACAGTTTGGTTCCCAGTCAGGGCACATGCCTGGGTTTCAGGCCAGGTCCCCAGTGGGGGGCGCGTGAGAGGCAACCACACATTGTAGTTCCTTTCCCCTCTTTCTCCTTCCCTTACCCTCTCTCTAAAAATAAATAAATAAAATCTAAAAATAAAATAAAAATAATAAAAAATAAAACTTAAAAAAATGACAACAGCCAACACAACAATAGCTGTTCACTGTAAATGAATCAAAATTATACTCAATTTTTTATTGTCAGATTGGCAAAAAATATACTATATTCTTTGGTGTGCTACAGAATTTTAGAAATTAGTTTATGTGTGCCATGAGATGAAAAAGGCTGAAAATTGCCACTCTAAGCCTTAGTGTTTTTTTAATCATCTCCTTAAAATATATAAGCATCTTTTTTATTACATTGTGATTCTCAAAGATATTCCAGAGAAAAAAATATGACTTAAACACCTGTAAGTTTTTCTTCATTTCTGTTATGTCAATCAACCCTAGTGGCCCGAGCAGAGCTGCGTTTCTCGTTCTCAGTCCGAGCCCCGACTGCACCACTTCATCAGCATCCGCACGTGCGGCGGGTCGCTCTGTGGGCTCTGCGGGCTCTGCATTCTGACCCTTGTAGTTTTAGCCTCTGAAGAAGGTCCTCTTTCTCCTGAACCTGCTGCACCAGTTTTGCCTTTTCCTCATTTGATTCTTGTTTGTAAAGATTCTGACTCACAAGATCTATTTGGAGACCACTGCGTGACCCGGTACCAAGTGACAGATTCACAGCATTTGATGTTCCAGAAGGTATTTTTCAAATACATCGTGTGTTTTTTTTTAATTCACTGTCTATACGTTTAAATTTTTCTCAAATTTCCAACTTTTTGTTTTTCTGTAGAAGATGCTGGTTTCTCTGAAAAGTTCAGATTGTTTTCTTCGTTCTCTACTTTAAGATGTTGTACCACTCTGTAACAGGGATTAAATGATGTTCATATTTTCCTTAATCATTCTCTAAGTGTCTAATTCATAGGTTGTTTTCTTGACCTGCTTACATGGGGAGGCAGTGGACTGGCGGGGGCCTGTGGGTTAGGTAAAGTCACAGCTGAGTCTGATGGACTGTCCATCTTGGAAATCAAATCTGGGTTTGCCTGTCCCTGAGCCAACCTCAGAGAGTACGGCAAACTCACACAAGGGAGTATTATCCGGCTATAAAAAGGGATGAAGTGCTGGCACATGTTACAACATGGATGAACCATGAAAACATTCTGCTAAGAAGCCAGACACAAGGGGCCATATATTGTAAGATTCCATTTATATGAAATATGGAGACTAGGAAAGCCCGTAGGTCATAAGCAGATTAGTAGTATCCAGGAACTGGGGGGTGGCAGGGAATGGGATTTTGGGTAGGATAGGGAAAATGATGAAAATATTCCAGAACTAAATAGTGGATAGCCCTGGCTGGCATAGCTCAGTGGATTGAGCATGGGCTGCGAACCAAAGTACCAAAGTGTCGCAGGTTTGATTCCCAGTCAGGGCACATGCCTGGGTTGCAGGCTATGGCCCCCAGCAACCGCACATTGATGTTTCTCTCTCTCTCGCTCTTTCTCCCTCCCTTCCCTCTCTAAAAATAAATAAATAAATAAATAAACAAATAAATACATCTTTAAAAAATAGTGGTGATGGTTGTACAACATTGTGAATGTGTTAACATCTACTGAGTTTGTATGTTATATGGGTTTTATCTCATTCAATAAAAACACTCATGAAAAAGTAAAACAATGCAGGATTGAGGAGGTAGGGAAAGGCGAGGAATCCAGACCACTTCTCTGTGCCTGGTTTCCTCATCTATATGGTGATAATAATGCCTCTAGCCTACAGCTGGCATGAGTATTACATGAATTAGTTACACAAAATGCTCAGCACAGTAGGCACTCAAAATAAAAGTTAATTGCCTACTTTTCTATATGCCTATTTGTCCCCTTTATTCCTTTTATTTCTCATAACTGTGTAGTTTGTGACTCCAGCCAGACAGCCTGGCCTTACACGGGCTTCTCCCTCTCCTCACTGTATCCGACAGGCTGCTCTGCCACCCAGCTGTTGTTCTGCCTGCGGTGTGAAAGGCCACTGTGGGCCTTAGGCCACCGCACAAAACCACCTGAGCGCTGATTCTGTGGGACCCACCTGCTGAATCAGACGCTGTGGGAATGTTTATTCAGGACAAATCTGGGGCTCTGTGTATTTTAATAAGTGCTCCAGGTGATGATCATACACATTCAAGTTTGAGGCTGTTTCTATTTAATGCCGTCTTTACCATCTCTTCTAGGAAGTCTGCTCAGACTCCTCCCCTGAGAAGCACTCTGACACCCAGAGCGCTCCTTATCCATGTCTGAGCTTCTGAGTGTCTGGGTCAGAGTTTCCTTGGACTCTGCTGAGTATTTTCTCTCCCAGTAGATGGGGGAACTCCCAGGGACAGATGCCTGCCCCTCTCTGTCCTCTTGTCACCCTGGTTCTTCTGAGTGTAGGTTCTCCTGGGTTGCTGTAGGGAGCAAGACATTTTAGTTTTGAAGCTCTTAGAATCCTTTCTGTCTACAAATTCTTGAGAGAACTTAGTTTCTCTCACTTCCTACCATTCTACTTCTGACTTTTGGAGATAGTATGGAAATTGTATTACTGTGTCATCTCAGCCTTTGCTTTTCCCATCCCATTTCACTCCACAGGATGTGCTAGGTGTAGGCCGACCCCCACTCCGCCCTGACACGTGACCATGGATCCAGGAGCTGGTCCAGAGTCATCTCTGACTGTCAACGAGCAGGTACTTTCTGGAGCAGGAAGGGGCGGGGGAGTTGTGAGGGTGATGGGCCAAGGGGTATCGGAAAGTAGGAAGACCCTATAGAGCCTCCTTATTTTCTGTTTCTTACCAAAACTCATGGTCACTTCACCTGTCCAGGTGTACTTGCCAGGTAGGATTTCTCAGGGGCAACATTTGGGGGTTTAAGCTGTGATTTTAAAAAGTAAAATTGAAATATACAAATGTATAAGTTTACCTGGGGAAAAATTTGAACATTGGGTAATTTGCTCCTGATTTTTCTTCTTGTTTATATATATTTTCTAATTTTTCTTCAATGACCACTTATTACTTACATAATTTTTAAAAGAAGAAAAAAGATAAACAGTTTTTACAATGTAATGGACCCTGGCTGGTGTGACTCAGTGGATTGAGTGCTGGCCTGTGAATCAAAGGGTTGCCAGTTCGATTCCCAGTCTAGGGCACATGCCGGAGTTGTGGGCCAGGTCCCCAGTAGGGGGTGCATGAGAGGCAACCACACATTAATGTTTCTCTCCCTCTCTTTCTCTCTCCCTTCTCCTCTCTAAAAATAAATAAATAAAATCTTAAAAAAAAGAGAATGTAATGGGAGTGAGGTCCTTCGTGAGTCAAGTTTGAGTCAGAAAGGCAATTGCTTCTGGGGGTTTATTTTATTCCCGCTCTCCTGATGGGTCACATTGTCACTTTTTCCAGCAGAGTCTCTGGCTGAATCCAGTTTTCAGGCTTAAGGAGAGTGTTGTGGGGGTGGCGGCTTCAGGCACAGGGCAAATGCAGGGAGGCCAGACACAGAGCTTTCAATGTAGAGTGTCCCTGATGTTTGAATGGCCCGACTGGAAGCATTTCAGTGCTGGAGGTGAAGAGCGAGTGCTGGTTGTTTGAGCAAGAAGGCCGTGTTCTGAGGAGGCCCAGGGGCCTCGTGCATCCCTGGGGCATGGAGGCTCCCTTCAAGGTCAGAGCAGGCCCACAGCAGATGGCACAACTGTCGCCACCGGCCCATGGGTACAAGTTCCAGCCCAGGGGCGTGGGGTTAGCTTGTAGGGAAATCTTGGCCTTTACCCCAGAGTTGTGGAAATAAAGGAATCATGAGCTGAAAAATTTACTCAACATTATGGAGCATTCATTTCCCGCCGCTTTACCTTTGACAGAACTTCTATAAGGTTTCAAGGGTCATGAGGCAGGATTCGCTTCTTGGCCCAGCTTAAGCTGGGGATACTGTGGCAGGGGACCTTGTAGGCACACACCAATATCATAGCAGCCAGAGGACACCCTTGCAAGGCTGCGGGATAGACCTTTTACCACTCCCTGAACTGAGTCCAAGAAAGGGAGCAAATGGAAATATCCCCAAATGGTTTGGCTTCATGGGACTTTTTCCAGCTAGTGTCATGCCCTGGGGCCTACTTCCTCCTAGCCTGCAGCTTGCGCCAGGCTCTGGAACTGTCACAGAGCACACAGTCCTTGGGACAGGACGTCTGCACCCTCAGGTCTCCTTTCCTCTCTAACCCCAACCATACCCAGAGCTCTAATCCCCAAGGGGGGTCTATATCAGCCCCTCCTCCAGCAGTGTCCTGTCCTCTCTTTGCAGGTCATCGTGATGTCAGGCCATGAGACTATCCGTGTGCTGGAAGTTGGCGTGGATGCCCAGATCCCTGCTGAAGAGGAGGGCAAAGGACTGGAAGCTGTGGCCGCTGAGGGCTGCGAGAGCAGAGGCCCTGCTGAAGCCAATGAACCTGCTGGTGAAGCTGGGCCAGACAACCCAGACTCCTCTGCAGAGGCAACTGGTACGAGGCCATTGCCCCCATCTGGCTGGGTCCCACTTGGGTCCCTTCTTGTGGTTCTCTGGCACCTAGATGGCTTTAGGATCTCATTGTCTTCCTCCCCACTGGACAGCCTTTGGCCATGATGGCCTGCACTTCAGGCCAGCTGCTAGGGCTGCCCTGCACTCATTGTCCCTAGAGCTTTAGTTCTGATTTCAGTCACTTCCTGGGATGGGTCAGCTAAGAGGACTGAACAAATCTTAGAGGGGCCTCCTAGGTCTAAACCAGACCCTTGGGCCCTGTGCGGAGAGGACTAGACCTCCAGGATCCTGCCAGCCCTTCCGAATTAGTACCTGCTGTGGTGAAGCTGGGAGGTCCCAGAAGCTGGGGATGGGAGGGCATCTTACCTACCTGGGACTAAGGATATAGGTTAGGTAGGACCTTGCAGAATGCCAGCTGGGCTAGTGTGAGTCAACCTGGTGGGCTTACTTCTGCTGTCCTCCAAAGATGAGTTGAGGGCGTGAGCTTGATTCTCCTATATGGGAATGGATGTGGCTGATCCACCCACACTGCCTTCCCTAATTAACTGCAGGGGCTGTTGTTCTAGAGCCTGGGGCTGGTACCAGGCACCGATTTCTGGCCATTTCATTGAGGACACCATTTCAATGAGGACACCATTTCAATGAGGACACCATTTCAACGAGGGACTTTCCTCATTAACACCTTGCAGAATAGATACCTCCTTTTGCAAGAAGCCTAGGGCCTCCCTTGCCAGTTTCACCAGAACATCAGGATTCATCACCCCTTGCGTTCTGCTTATCTTCCCTTTCCTAGACTGGAGATCTGGGCTGGTGGGGGTGGGCTAAGAGAGGGAGCCAAGAAGATAACAAATGAGAATAGACAGGCTTCAGGGAAACAGCAGCTTCTCAACCAGGAAACTGCTAGACCTCACATCCATCGCTCTACCTGCAAATTGGTGTGCAGACTCAACTGGGGCCCTAGTAACTTGGCCTATCCCCCCCCGCCCCCCCCCCCCCGCCCCCTAGTAATATGACCCTTTTCCCCTTGCCTGGAAATGCACTGCTTCCATGCAGTACCTGAGTTCCCCGGGGCTGAGGGGGGTGGGGGGGTGGGCAGCGCCCTGCAGAGCAGACAGGAAAGACAAGGATTCTTTCTGTCAACCACCTTTTATTCCTTTCCATTGTGGGGATGAAGCCCTTTTTCAGAAAATTTGAGAGGTTTTCCAGGTTTATCCACAGTGTCTTAATTTCCCTCTTCACCCTTTTAAGGATATTCCACATCTCATTTCTTCTGGTGTTTTAATTCTGCTCCTTATCCAAACCTGCTCTTGGGAATAGATCCTAAGTCAATTATTTACACCTTAGCATGAGCGTTTATGGTAGCGTGCATCTTCTTCCAGAGGTTGGTGTTTCACGAAATTTTTCTCTGTAAAGGAATTTTAATTATCGTCACACAGGCAAGCAAGGTATTTTGATGGTACTTCCTAAGAAGCTGCCGGGTTAGATTGCAGACTCAAGGGGACCTTTCTAGATATGCAATGTTAAGAAGCATTTCCTCCTTAAAACAAAACAAAGCTAAGTAATAGAAATCTTTTTCAGGATGAAAAAAATCTAGTGGTTTCTGGCACTCGAAATTACCTCCTAGTCCTTGTCACACATGCATGTTTTTATTGTTGTGGCCACCGAGGGCAGACCATGAAGCGTCACGCTAGCCACTCTGCTGGTTCAGATGCCCGCTTCCTTTTTGCCATAGATTCATAGACCTGTTCTGGTTTTGGCAATTGTTAGACTGTCTAGTTTTTTATTGTCATAACCAGTGCTGCTTCGAATGGCTTTGTATTGGTCCTTTGAAAAATCTTTTCCTTTGAGGTATAGTCCACTCAAATTACTTTTGAAGAGAAATTAATTATTTATGTAGGAAGAAGTGATCACATGAAAAAGTACAAAATCTTGCTATCAATGAGAGGAAAAGTAATTGGCTATGAGCTACTGCATACCGGTTAAGCCAGCAAAATCAACAGTGGTAAACACCAATTCGGGGGACGCGGCGGAGGAACAGGCGCTGCCTGTGCTTCCGCGCATTCGTCTTTCTGAAAGGCTGTCTCGCGGGAAGTGACAGAAGCTCTAAGCGTAGGCAAACTTGGATCCCTCGGTCTTACTTTGGAAATATATTTATTTTTTAAAGATTTAATTTATTTCTAGAGAGAGGAGAAGGGAGGGAGAAAGAGAGGTGGAGAAACATCGATATGAAAAAGAAACATTGGTTGGTCGCCTCTCATACATGCACCCACTGGGGACTGAACTCGCAACCCAGGCATGCGCCTGGACCAGGAATCAAACTGGCGACCCTTCACCCTGCAGGACGACGCCCAGCCAACTGAGTCACATGGCCAGGGCTGGAAATATATTCTAATAAAATGAATAGTTCATTTCTTTGGATTGTAAGCTTTTATCATTCATGCTCATCATATTCCTGTTTTCACTTTCTTATTTATAATTCATTATTATTTGTCATGCAAAATGTTTTTTTAATTTTTCTGGGTTCAGATTATCCTTATCTTCTTTGATTTTTTTTTTTTTTTTTTTTTTGTAGTAGTTAGAAAAGTATCTCCCCTCCATGGGGGAGTGAAATCTGCCATTTTGTTTTCTCTTAGTATTTTATAAGGCTTTTGTTGCTGCTTGCTTGTCTCTTTAATTCCTTAAACAATCTGGATTTCTTTTATAATGTACTATGAACAGTATAGTCCTGAGTTTGCGTGGTGCCTTTCCGGAGTAAAATACGGGGTGGGAACGCAGGGCTGGAGGGTGATCTCATTCAGTGGTTCCCATTGTGGCCATGTGCTGTGTCACAAGGGAGCTTAAAAGAAGACAGACTGAGAAGTACCAGCCACCGGTCACACAGACAGCCTCTGGGAAGTTAAAGCACAGCAGAGAGAATATAGTCAATAACATTGTAGTAACTACATGTGATGTCCGAGGGGTACTGGACTTCTAGGGGTGATCACCTTGTAAGTTACATAAATGCCTAATCACTGTGATGTACACTTGAAACTAATATAATATGGAATGTCAGCTGCAACTGAAAAATTAAAAAAAAATTTTTAAAGAGAGAGAGGAGAGGTGGCTGCCCTCCACTCCCAGACATTCTGATTCATTAGGGCCTGGAAATCTACGCCCAGCCAGGACTAAGAGGCCACTGATCTGGCCTAATACCCATCACCCAATACCTAGACTCCTCTTAATGTCTCACCATATATGAAATAATAACCCTTTTCCTCATTGTGTGGCTTTGAAGAGGCTTCCTGGTGGAGATCCCCAGTACCTGACAAATCAGGACAGCACGAGGAAGCTATAAGCTGGATGAAAAGCTCTGGTTCATGGGAAGTTCCTTTAGAAGCTCACTGAAGCGGCTCATCCAGACTTCAGATCTCAGGGACTGGCAGGGAAAAGCTCCCTGGCCCAGAGAGCCGCTGTGATCCTGAGTGTGGCAAAAGCATGTCCAGTTTTCAGGGACTGTCCTTTTAAGGGCTGCACCCTGTAGAGGCCTTGCCCTTTCCCCAAGCTAGCACCTGCATCCAAAAAGGAGCCTGGAGATGGGCTGAGCAACGGTCCAGTTGCCGGATGAGCCGAGGGAAGCTGCTCCCACTGATTCTGTCTAGACCTCCCTCCCAGACGTTCCCTGCAGGCCTCTCTACTGATGATGTGATAGGTCACAGTGCTCTGTAGAGCCAAAAAACCAGAGACTGATACCCAGCTGTGCATAGGCCTGCATTTTCTTCATCTAAGTGTGGGAAGGAGAGGGCCCACGTTCTAGGTCTGGCACAAGGCTCTCCAGTCTCCTAGTGTCACTACCAGTAGCATTTGGGAAGCTGCCTTCTGGGCCAGGGAAAGCCAGTGATAGGTCTTGGGTTGTGCAAAAATGCAATGGGAGGCTGAGAGTTGCCACTTCAAGCGGCAGACAAGACACTCTAGTCCGCTGACCCCTCTGCTCACACCAGGCTCACTCTTTGTCCTCTCTCTCTATGCCACATGAAGTGAAGTCACTCCCAGCAATCCCTTCAAGCCCTGTCCCCGCGGTCGCCACCTTCAGCCAAGCCCCAAGCCAGCCTCAGGCATCGCAGACCCTGACGCCACTGGCTGTACAAGCTGCCCCCCAGGTAAGAGCCACCCCTGGGACCTGGACAGAGGGCAGTGGGCAGAAGCAAGGCATGGGATCTGGCAACTTCACGAGGCAGGATAAGGAAGGGGCTGTGGCTTGAGGGAGGGAGGGAGTCCCCCGTTAGGCACCCCGGCTTTCCCCTGCCCCAGATGAGGCCCACTGGGAAAAGCAGGTTTGCCAGGTGATCTTGGGTCCAGCAAGGATTGTAGAGTTACATTAACCCTTTCATGCCACAGGCCATCTGTCTATCTAATGACGGAATGAGTAACTACCCTTGTCAGTTCCTCCAGTAGGTGCCTGGAAGAGTTAATGCACTGCTCACAGTCCTTGTGTAGAGCCCGGGGGCAGCCCCACAGCACAGTGAGCTGTCTCCAGGGTCCTCTGGGAGTGCTGAGCTCCCTGTGACCTTTCCCCGTACGCGCAGATTTCCAAGGCATTCATCAAGGGTAGCCTCCATCAGAGCTTCTCGGAAGCCTCTGTGGGCCCTTGACCATTTGATTCCATCAGCTCCTACCCCCGGCTTTCTGGCCATAAAACGTTGGTCCTGTGGGTGAGGGCCCAGGGAAGCCTGGGAGCAGCACTCTGCAGTGGCAGAGGCCTGCGCACCCTTGGCCGTCCTGTGAGCAGGGCCAGGTCCTTTCTTCGACTTGGCGGCTTCTCTGAAGGCATAGTCTGTCAGGCACCCCCTCAGGGTCGAGCCTCTGGCTCAGGCCAGGGCTTGTCTCTTCCCCGCCCTCCTCGGCCTTTCCCCCACTGCCCTCAGAATGCTTTGTTTGTGCTCTGCTGGGTCTGAGAGACCCAGTGTTTGCGCTGTCAATGTTGATTTTTTTTTATTTTTTCTTTTCTTTTTGAAATCTTGTTTGCTTTTGCAGGTCTTGACTCAGGAAAACTTAGCCACAGTTCTGACAGGAGTTATGGTTCCAGCAGGGGCAGTTACTCAACCTCTTCTTATCCCCATCAGTATTGCAGGTCAAGTGGCTGGTCAGCAGGGGCTGGCCGTGTGGACAATTCCTACAGCAACCGTGGCTGCCCTCCCAGGACTGACCGCCGCTTCTCCTACGGGGGGAATTTTCAAGCCACCTTTAGCCAGTCTCCAAGGTAACGGCAACTCTCCCCAGGACTGCACCTGGCCCCCCACCACTCACCACCACCATTCGTGCTCGTGGGCCTGCCATGTCGGACTCAGAATCCACGGCCTGCCCAGGACGACAGCCCTGGAGTCTGGATGCGGTGTCCCAGGCACCCAGCCGTAGAGCTGCTGCAGCACCTTGGGACTCTAGGCCGTGACACCATGCTGGCCCAGCAGGCCTGTCTTACTTCAGCCAACTGTCTAAGACTGCCCCTCTCCCCCCACGCCAGAATTCACCCCATGACCAGCCAGCCTCCTGAGAAGGACTGCAAGAAGATGCAACTTCTGGTTTCGAACCTACACATCTCCAGGCCCAAGGGAGGGGGGATGAGAGATGTTGGCCTGTGCTGCCCCCCACAAGGATCAAGGGAGTCACAGCTGCCTGTCCCCCTGCCCCACCACCCCGATACCCTCTCGTTCTTGTGCCAGATCCCTTGGGATTGGAGCTGCTCTGGGCTGCGGCTAGGCATTTGAGCACCTCTGTCTCTGCCTTGCTCCATAGCAGCCGCCGTGCTGAACACCGCTCTCCCGGCACCTGTGCAAGCTGCCCCACCGGTACAGGCCTCCTCGCCTGCCCAGCCCCGGCCACCAGCTCAGCCCCAGACGCTGTTCCAGACCCCGCCGCTGCTGCAGACCACGCCTGCCATTCTACCACAGCCCACTGCTGCCACCGCCGCTGCCCCCACCCCCAAGCCAGTGGACACACCCCAACAGATCACCCTCCAGCCTGCGGGCTTTGCATTTAGCCCGGGAATCGTAAGCTGCTGCCCTCACCCAGGGCTGACCAGGGATGGACTGAATCTTGGGCCAAGGGTAGAACTGGCAGGGGAGGAAGGAGGTGGAGTACCAGTCCCCAGAGTGTGGCTCTTTTCCAACACATCAGCAGAGATGGGCTCCCTCTGAAGCCTTCTCCTTGCAGCTACCAGCCCGTCCATCCCAGACGAGAGCAGACAACCTCTGCCAAGAGGGCTGGGCACATTCTCCAGAGCCTGAACCACTGCACCAGCCTTGGAGGGTGGGATGATGTCTGGGGATTGCAAACTTGTGAGCTGTCACTAAGGTGGAGCTGGAGGCTCACAGCCCACTGTCAGTGTCATCCACAGTGGCTCCGAGCTTGGCAGTGGAGCTGTTAGATGTGACTAGAATCATGTCAACCCCTCCAGTCTGGCCCTTCTACCCTCCCAGGCCTGGCCTGAAAGATTAGCCAGAGTTACTCTTCCATGGCTTTGATCCCATCCTTCTCGGCCGACCCCCTGCCATCCCTAGCCCTGGATGCTGTTCAGCCGGAGGACATGGGCCTGTAGCCCACGTTCCTGCATATCTGCCCCACATCCCTACCTCCCCACCCCAGTGCCTTGAGCCCTCTTCCCTCTGCCTTGGGCTCTTACTGTCCCCTCGGCTTCTGAGCAAGGCTCTTCCTCCACCCACAGATCAGTGCTGCATCCCTCGGAGGACAGACCCAGATCCTGGGCTCCCTCACTACAACTCCAGTCATTGCCAACGCCATTCCCAGCATGCCAGGGATCAGCAGTCAGATCCTCACCAGTGCTCAGGGACAGGCAAGTGGTGAAAGCCAGGGCTGTGGGATGGGGGCTGTGGAGAAGCTGGCCAGAGGACCAGGACTTGGACCGAAGGTCACAGAATCTCAAACAGGGTGTCAGAGTGCTGTTCCTGTCTCCCGTGTGTCAGCTCTCTGCTGATGCTGAGACCAGGCATGGGCAGAGCCGCTACCTTGCCCTAGAGGTGCCCACTCTAGTTGAAGTGAATGCCTACTTCATTTATCGAGACCTACTTTGTGGCCAAGATCTGTGCTAGGTGCTTTCTCATACGTCATCTCACTTCATTCTGGGTGTAGATGTACTAGGTAGAGACTTTTGTTCACATTTCACAGGGAAGAAGGCTGAGGTTCAGAGAAATGAAGCCACACTGCTAAACTGTGGCAGAGCGGGGCTCCCATCCGGGTCTGTCTGACCCCACGTGCAGACTCGTTCCTGCTCCATCACAGCTCTGCAGACAGGGTGATGGAAGCAGCTCCCACACTGAGTCCTGCACTTGACTGAGGAGGAAACTGAGGCCCATAGCGGTTAAGTGATTTGTCTCAGTCCCTTCCCCAGCCAGTGTGGGGATTTGGGTGCAGGGTGGAGCTGGATACCACCCTCGCACTGAGGGTCCCTGCCTTATTTCCTCCCAGGTTATTGGAACACTCCCGTGGGTAGTGAACTCGGCCAGCGTGGCAGCCCCGGCACCAGCCCAAAGCCTGCAGGTCCAGGCTGTGACCCCCCAGCTGCTGTTGAATGCCCAGGGCCAGGTGATTGCAACCTTGGCCAGCAGCCCCCTGCCTCCGCCTGTGGCAGTCCGGAAGCCAAGCACGCCTGAGTCCCCTGCTAAGAGTGAGGTACAGGGGCCGGGGGTGGGGCTGGAGGCTGGCAGTGGTATCTGGCATGACTGCAGCTAGGACAAGGTTATTCTCTGAAGCCCCTGGGAAAGTGGGGCACCTCCCCAAAGTTAGGGAAGGTCCAGGAAAGAAGGCTCACAGGAGTCACACATACTCTGCCCAAGGAAACTGCACACGCCCCCAACCCCTGCCCACACACCAACAGCTGGTCCGTGTGCCCTCAGAGGCCAGTGCCTTTCTGAGAAGGCCTGGGAGGAGGCAGACAAAGCAAGCTGGGCCTTCACCAGCTCCGGGGTGAACAAACTGCTAGAAGAGCCCCGGAGAGTCATTCTGCACCCCTCCCTCTTCCTCCTGCACCCCTCCACCCCTCCACTCTGTGCTGTGGCTTTGATTATTCATTTATTTGCTCATTCTAAGAGCACTTTTTGAGTGCCTACTGTACCTCAGGTACTGAAGATGTAGAGATGAGTAAGACGCCCTTCGTAGCCTTAGGTATCTCAGTGCTGGAGACAGTGCAAGGTACCCTGACAAAGACTATGAAGGGGCATTGTAAGGAAACCCAGAGAAGGGCGCTGTCGACAGACTGTGAAGTTCATTACAAAGCTTCGCAGAGAAGGGGCATTGAACTAACCTTAAGGGATGAGTTAGATGAGAGTCTTTTACCATTAGGAAATTGCAAGCAGTATAGGACACAGGGGTTCTCAAATGGGAGTGCGCATCAGAACCACCTGGAGCGGTCTTTAGAATGCAGACTTCCAGGCCCCATCCCAGACTTTCTTATTCAGTAGGTCTCACGTGGGGCCCAAAAATTCCCCTTTATAATGCGTTCTCAGGTGTTGAGACCCATGGTTCTCAAACGTGGTAGCTGCTTCCCAGCTTTGAGAATAACCTCTTCGCCTCATCTGGAAAATGGGTTACAAGAGGACCAATTGCAGAAGGTTATGAGTATGAAGGACATATTGCACGGAGGCAATTAACACTTAGTACACAGGAAGGACTTGAAAAATGGTGTTTTTATTGTTGTCGCTGTTAAGAGCTAGCTAGCGAGGGTTCATGGAAGGGTTTTTAGCAGGAAATGGCTGATTAAACGTGCATTAAACAATTTCCTGTCAGCAGGCGGAGCCAAGAAGTGAACTGTGGTGAGACTTGAGTCCTTGTCACCTGTTAGGAGGCAGGCAGCTTCAACAGTTCTAGCAAGAGACAGGGGACTTGACCCCAGCCTAAGGCCCTGAAAAGCAGGAAGGACCGGACTTCAGAGCTGCCAAGAGGTAGAATCCAGAGAACAGGACCCATCCTAGAAAAATCTGAACTTTTCCAGAAGCTTTTTAAAAACACAATACTAAAAATGCTAATTTCATATAGTTATAGTTTCTTGCAATTGTAAATAATACATGACTTTACAAACATTCCAAGATCATATGTAGTGTAGAAAAGTAAAAATGCCTTTTAATTCCACCTCTATTTTTTTCCTGGAAATTCATATGTATTTTTTTAAAAGAATTATTCCATAAAACCCAGTTTTCACTTGCCTTTTTGTTTCCACTTAGCGCTATGAGCCTGAGCTCGCTCCCTGCCAGCAGTGGAGAGAGATACCTGGCTCTTTTGAATGGCTGCCCTGTGTCTCCTTGTAGGGAGGTCCCCAACGTCATTTGCCAGTTCCCTATTAAAGGATGTTTGGGCTTGGGAGGCTCTAAAATAGGTTAGGTTTCTCCTCTGAGGACAGATTCGAGAGGAGTTATCTCAAGGGGGAACGTTTGTTGGGGCATTGACCAAGTGTACTGAGCCTTTTGAGCCTCGGACCTGCCTGTGCCACAGGTGGCCATGAGGCTCCAGCTTGGTGGGACAAGTTGCTGTGTGCTTGTTTCGGAGGTCATTATCATCGGGTGGGTGATAAGAAGTAGCTTCTAGTCTTGCGTTTTGATGGGGCACAAGTGGGTGTGTGGACATCGTGCCTTTTTTTGCCCCTGTCTCTGATCCATGCAGGGACTCCGACCCCCTGAGCTGGGCAGGTGGGCAGTAGGGGCTTATTGGCTCTCTTCTCACAGGTGCAGCCCATCCAGCCTACGCCAGCTGTGCCCCCACCTGCTGTGGTCATCGCTAGCCCAGCCCCAGTGGCCAAGCCATCTGCCTCTGCCCCCATCCCAATTACCTGCTCGGAGACCCCCACTGTCAGCCAGCTGGTGTCCAGTAAGTGGCTCCCAGAGGAGGTTGTGGAGAAAGGGAGAGGCATTTATTTGGACACGCTGACTTCTTTGAATTCTGCTCTCCACATAAATTTACTGGAGTCTAAAGGGCAAGGGCAGACTCGTGATGCCAGGGACTGCATTTCTTATTCCTGTTGAGCTGGATTCTAGGCATGATGAGAGTGGAGGCTGTTTCTCTGAGGAGCCAAGCCATTGACTGTCTCTCCCACAGTCCCGAACCCAGTATCTGAGGGATGTGGATGACCAGTGGGTGTGCCTGGGGTCCCAGAGTGTGGAGAATGGGGAGGGTCAGCAGTTAGAGCTGGGAGAACTTGAAAATAGATCCCTACCTCTAGACAGGTTGGTCCAGGCCCCTTTCCCCCCAGTCTCATTTGTCTTGGGGACAAGGTTAATGAAGATCTTAGGGGTGCATGGGCGTTTTGCCAAATGTCCTCACCCCTCTGCACCAGGCCAGGCCAGTGGGTTAGGTAAGCAGTGATGATTACCTTCCCTCCGCACTCACCCCTGGTCCCTTCCTCTGGCCTAGAGCCCCATACCCCGAGCCTGGATGAGGACGGGATCAACTTAGAAGAGATCCGGGAGTTTGCCAAGAACTTTAAGATTCGGCGGCTGTCCCTGGGCCTCACGCAGACCCAGGTGGGGCAGGCTCTGACTGCAACAGAAGGCCCGGCCTACAGCCAGTCAGCCATCTGCCGGTGAGTAAGGCTCCTGGGCAAGGTCAGAGCCTGCTCGGGTGCCCGCTGCCACTAGGTGTTCACAGATACCCACCTGGGTATTTGACCTCATTCCTCTGCCTTGCTCCTGCCTTCTTCCAAACACGGATGGCTGCTTTAAGCATAGACGTGAATACTTGGAGGAGCCAAAGACTGATCAGGTCCTTCTGCGGGGCCTCTGATGTTTATCCTCCAATCCCGAGCATTTCCCAACACACGGTCTTTATCTGGGATGCCAAGACACCCATCCACTCGGGAATCCTAGAGGGAAAGGAGCACAGCTCACAAAATTAGTTACAAAGGTGGGAACTTCAGTTCTGACTCGGCTCTCAACTGTACCCCACCAGCACCCCTACCATGCTTCTGTCCCCCCCTCATGTAAGGCATGACTGGAAGGTGATGCAGCTGGTTTTCTCTGTGCAATGCACAGACTGGTCTAGTGCCAGCACCATAGGAGGGGTAGCACAGGGTTTCAAACAAGAGTGAGGGTGTGGCTCGGGGGCAGCCGGAGGGTCTCATCGGCCTTCCAGTTCCGCAGATAGACTATGGCGCCTCTCAGACTCAGCGCCACGGCGGGACCTCTGTAGTCACATCCGGGCTCACCAGGAAGAGTAGTCTGACTTAGCAGCACTGCTAGGAGAGGGTAATTAGAGGAAGACAGCACTGATGACATCCATTTGCCTCACAAGATAATACCTGAAAGGCCCTGCCTTGGTGAAAGTTCTAGAATGGTTGTTCATGTAGCAGTTGCACTGTTGCCACTGCACTGCTGGACTAAGGCCATGGGAATGGCCCCTCTGCTATGAACTGGGACCCAGGGCAGTCTGAGAAGTCTGGGTTTGCCTGAGCCAAGGCCCGGGTGGGGGCGGGGGGGACTTGGCGGGAGTGGTGAGGAGCAACACCTCTTGGAGAGTGCTCCCACCCAGTGTGGGGGTAAGACACTCTCACTGTCCCTTCCTGGGCTTGGGTCACCTGCAGGTTCGAGAAGCTGGACATCACGCCGAAGAGTGCTCAGAAGCTGAAGCCCGTGCTGGAGAAGTGGCTGAATGAAGCCGAGCTCCGGAACCAGGAAGGCCAGCAGAACCTGATGGAGTTTGTGGGAGGGGAGCCCTCCAAGAAACGCAAACGCCGCACTTCCTTCACCCCCCAGGCCATAGTGGCTCTCAATGCCTACTTCGAGAAGAACCCACTGCCCACGGGCCAGGAAATAACTGAGATTGCCAAGGAGCTCAACTACGACCGGGAGGTCGTGCGGGTCTGGTTCTGCAATCGGCGCCAGACACTCAAGAACACCAGCAAGCTGAACGTCTTTCAGATCCCTTAGGGCTCAGCCCCCAGCCCTGTGTTCCAGCACTTTGTACTTGTCCCTTGGCACCCGGCTGCAGCCACGGCTGTGACAGCACCTGTCGTTCTGCTACATGTGGCTGTGCTTGTCCTGGGTCTTGAGACTCCACCGTGTGCATGTGTGTCAGTGGCCTCCCTCCCACCCCCCACATAGTGCACACCACGGGGAGGCAGAGGAGCCTGCCGAGGGTGCCAGGCTCTGGCTGGTCATGCTGAAGGAGGGAATTGTGGTGTCACTTAAATAAGCACTTTGCTAATGTGGTTTTGGAAGAGTGAATTCTGCCCCGTCTTTGGGGCAGGGCTGTAGCAGCCCCTAAGGACTGGCTATTAGCTCTTGTTTTCGATGGCATTCTCTTTCCACCCTCTCTTCTCTCCTCCTCTGTGTAAGTGTGGCAGGTATGGCGTGTCCACAGGACCACAGACTCACCCCCCTTTGCCTACAGGCACTCTGTCCCCTGAAAGAACCTAAGAGACACAATTCTGAAAAGTGTGATGTGCTGCTCAGAAGGTCAGACTTGGTGTCTACCTTGACCTCAAGGTCAGAAGGTTCCACAGCCTTGGGACCAGAACATGGCACCTCCTCCCACCTCTCCCTGGTTCCTATGGAGGAAAATTGCACTAAAGAAGAACCTTTTTTTTTGTAATCCATGTTGGAAGGAAGCAACAGAGAGCTCTAGCTGTCCTGGAGTTGACCTGGATCTGTGGTAGGTCAGGAATTTAGTAAGTAAGGCCATTCTTCCAGGTTTTAATCTAATCTCTGTCCATGACCATCTCCTCCCAGAACCGTTGCAGCCTGGAAAACCCGCGACCCCCGTAAGCAGACACTTTGGAGAAAAATGAGGAAAGATGTGCTGACTCTTTCTCTTGTCCTCACATTATTCCCCAACCCCGGATCAGGGCCTTCTCAGAAGGCGCAAATTCAACAGCAAACTGGGCAGCAAGGCCTGGGAGGAAGGCCAACATCCAGAAAGGGCAGATGGCAGCCCAGGAAGGTCTTTTGTGGAAGTCTAACTCTAACTTTCTTTGTCACTTTAAGCCTTGGATACTGGGGGAGAAATCTTGTTTTGTTCAGAGACTTAGACCCTGTGTTTGTGTGAGCAATCCCTCCAGTGCTCCACTGAACCAAGAAGGCCCCTGGAGCAGGACAGCTTTTGCCCCCAGAGAGGGTAACCGTGGCACTTTGGGGGTTGGCAGCTCATCTGGGCTCCTAACTGAGTGTCCCAGCCCCAGTGTGGCTGGGTAACCCCTGGAACTCTGCATGCGGCTCCAGGAAGTCAGCGAGCACCGAGAGGTTTGCTTAGATGAACCCAGCCTTGCTGTGCAGACTGTCTGTCCAGGGCCACGAGTCACGGGGGTCAGCCGCCACCCACCCCCTTCACTACTCCTGTCCTGACAGAGCCGAGTCTCTAGCAGTTGCCCTCCACTGCCCCTCACATGATACACCCCGAGGAGGTGACTGCCCGGTGAGGGCCTGTCACCAGCTCTGCTGGTCATTGCAGCCACCTCCTAGCCTAGCTTCCTCTAGAATGCTGTTTCCTGCCTACAACTGGTCCCTCCCAGGCCCCGCAGTGCCAGCATGGCCACCCTCTGGGTAGCCCTGCCAGTGGGAAGACAGCTGTGTGTCAAAGTGCCACATGCACACACTCCCGCCCACTGTATTGGGACCAACAAGCCAGCCTCAGTGCAGTGGTGGTGAGGAAGCGGGTGGGCATCTTGCCTGCCCCAGCTTCCCAGGAGAAAATGTCTCCAAAGTGGGGAGGTTCCACACTCAAGTTCAGGGTTATCCACCTGTCTCCATGAGACGAAGGGAGGGGTGTTGTAAACAAGTGTTCAGTAACACTTGTTTACAACAAGTGTTATAAAGTACTATAAAGTGTTATAAAGTACTGGAGTTTGTTAAGGATTCAGTGATTTGCCCTCCAATAAATTAGAGAGATCCAGGCTCTCACCCTCAAACACTTGAGTTCAGATGCGTTTTCTTCCAGGTGGGTCACAGGCAGTATCCAGGAGTAATGGATAATCCAGGGTGTGTCCATGGCAGTGGCCACGCAGTACACCGTCTGTCTGGTATCTGGGCAGGAAAAGATAATGAACTGCTGGTCTAAATTAGGGCTGGCCGTGCTTTCTCAGCTCCCCTCTCATCTAAATTTGTCTTCCCAAGGCTGGGGTACAGCGAAACCATTTTCTCCTCTGCAGGGAGGATGGCGGGTCTTCCAGAGAAACAGTGTCGGGGGTAGGATATTTGCAGACTGGATTCCCCAGGCAGGAGGGCGCAGAGTGTCCCTGAAGTGTGCCCGAAGCAGAGCTCGCCAGCCTCAATCTCCTGCTTCCCCCTGTGGGGAACCCCCCGCCCTCACCCCGGGAAAGCACCTGTGGCGCTGAGGTGGGTTTTCTGTTTTGTTTCTGGAAGCATCAGACTCTGAAGGGAGTTGATGTCAATTTTGTTTTGAAAGCAGCTTTCTGGACTTAAAGCCAGAGCTCAGCATCTCCTTTGCCATGGAAAGGAGGGAGAAACGGCAGTTCTGGTTTCACTGTTTGCTTGTGGTTTTGTTTGTTGGTTTTTGTTTTAAATAAAAGAAAGACCAAAACTTTCTATGGCCTGGTGAATTAGCTGAGACCTTTGAACCTGCGTTATGCATGGTATTTTACCTAGGTGAGGTCTGAGGAAAGGATCTGGCCAACTGGATTGAGGAACACACTTGAAATTGGAATGAGAATCCCTGACCTTTTTTGGGTCCCTGGACACCCAGTCATCTTCCTACGGTTGGATTCCCATCCAGTCTGAAGGCCAGGCTCTGATGCTGAGGTTCTGTCTGTCCCCGACATGGGGCCAAACCTACTGGGGGCTGGAGTGAGGGGTGGGGAGGGGAGAAACACTGGATGTCGTTGTGTGGAATAAACAGTATTTTTCTTCTGCACTGGTCTACATGTTTTGCCTCCACCTCTCAGGGTGGGGAATGCAGGTCTTCCTGTCAGAGGCCCGGGAAGTATCAGTGAGCTGCCAGAGCGCATGGCCTGGAAAATCCCACTGCAAGAGGGTGCAGGCCCTGCAAGACCTGCACTCCCGCTTCAGAAGGCCCTGCCGCTGGCCCTCCAGCCACCCCCTTCTGCGGGGAGCAGGGTTGAGGGGATGTGCTCTTTCTCTTTCTAGACCACCCTCCTGGTACCTAGGACCTGGCCAAGCCTGCTTTTCAGCCCCTCTTCTCTGGGTCCCGACAACAGACATGTTGTGTGCGTGCTCCTAGGCTCAAGAGTGACCAACAGGCAGCTGTTTGTCAGAGACCTGGGTGCTCAGAACTCGGACATGCAGGCTGGAGTGTGTATACACACACACAACGCCCTTTGCAATGTGAGGTGGGGCCGAGAGAGGGCAGAGAGGGCAGGCTAGAGGCTGGGGGCCAGGGCTGGGAAATATTCTAGCACAGAACTTCAAGGACTCTTAAAAGTAAATTCAAACCTGGCCTTCCAGGTTCTCATGAAAGTATGCTTATCATTCATTATCGGCTGCTAGATCATTCATGATTACCTTGGTGTATACTTGATAAAATATATGGTACTCGGGGCTTCATTTTGTGCTTCCCCAGGCCTGCAAACGTGAGGGATAGGCCTGATGGGTGAGCTTGGAGCTGGGAAAGCACAGCTGTCATACGAGTCCTCTCTGCTGATCTGCCTCGCAGGGTCAGGGTGTTTGCCACGCTCCCCTTCGGCCTGCCTCTCCCCACTCCACCTACCTGGTGCTGATGTGGGCTAGACTCCATTACCTGAATTGGTGAGAGCAATCCATCACCTTTGATTCCACCCAAACAGAATTTCTGGTTTTTTAAATCTCACCCGAGGAGATGTTTATTGATTTTAGAGAGGGTGGGGGGAGAGAAAGAGACATCAGTGTGAGAAACATCGATCCCTTTGCCTCCTGTATGTGCCACAGCTGGGGATTGGACTCACAACCTAAGTATGTGCTCTGACCAGAAATTGAACCCAAAACCTTTTTGTGTACAGGATGATGCTCCAACCAACTAAGCCACCTGGCCAGGACCCAAACAGAATTTCTGAACTAGGCACTGTACTGGGTTCTAGATCATGCCCCACAACCCCAACTCCACCCAAGGGACCATAGATGACTAGGATACTGATGTAAGGCTTAAGGATCAGAGGAGCTTTACAGTACTGTGAAATCATGGAGCAAAAAATTAGATCAAAGCCAGCACTTACCTCTGCCCAGATCTCACAACCCTAATGCTAGCAGTCCACACTAGGCTGTGACTTAGTACCCGGGCCAGGGGCACATTGTAGGTGCTTGATAAATTTCAGATAGATGACTGAATGTATTTCTTATTCTCTCCTTCAAGGAAATAGCAAGAGCTGACTTCAGGCTACTGGGTGAAAGCAGGTAGAGAGAATTCTGCTTAGCTGTGCAGGGTTTAGACTGTGATACAGGAGTGAATGGAGCCTGGGCAGCAGCTGGTGGTGACTGGACAGAGGCAGATCCCATCAGAAGAGTCAGTGGAAGCTGACAGCGCTGGCTCAGACCAGTGTGTATGGTTTTTGGCAGTTGGCCCAGGAAGGTTTTAAAGAAAGAGAGGTGGGTTTGTGGAGAAACCATACTTTCTATTCCTAGGCTGTTCTTTTGGGTTCCTGGACCCAAATCCAACACGTGTATTTGTGTGTGTGTGTGTGTGTGTGTGTGTGTGTGTGTTCATGTTTGTAGGCTTCCCTGCACCAACAAGCAATTCTCGGACACCAGCAGGGTGTCCAAGAACTCAGCTCAGTTCTGACACTGTCTACCTGGAGGAAGCATCGGATTCCACAAATAAGCGTCTCAGTTCCTCCCTCCACTTCTGTTACCAGGTGAGAGCCCAGGTTATTTCCTGTCCTTCTGACCAACCTACTGCATATGGGAGGCTTCGACTATGTCCTCCAACTCCAGATGCCAATCACAGGTTTGGGATGTTACCTGTGTTTCTGACCAAGTGGCTCTAAGTCAGAGGTTCCCATAACCCCTCCTTGCATTTCATTAATCTGAGAGAACTGCTCACAGAACTCAGGGAAACCATTTACTCACTCGGTTGCCAGTCTCTTACAAAGGGTACTTAGGGTGTGAACGACAGCTCGATTTAGACATACATAGGGTGAGGTCCTGAACAAAGGGGCTTCTGTTCTTGAGGGCTTGGGGCCTGGCACAGTGGCCCCAGGAAGTGTTCTGGTTCCCCAACTTGGAACTGCTCCAAACTGCTTCCTTTTGGGTTTTATGGGGTTTTATTACATAGGCATGATTGATTAAGTCATTTGCCATAGGTGATTGATTTAACCTCAGCCCCTCTCTCCTCCCCAGACATCAGGAGGTGAGACTAAAATTTCCAACCCTCTTTCACTGTTGGTTCCCCTGGCAACCAGCCCCCACCCTTAGGAGCTTTCCAAAAGTCACCTTCATTAACATAAACCTAGTTGTGGTAGAAAGGGGCTTGTTATGAAAACAAGACCCATTTCACCTTTATGGCTCTGAAGGTTTTCAAGAACTGAGGACAAGAGACCAAATGCTGTAACAAAAGATGTTCCCAATGCCCTTAAGCTCAGAAATTCCAAGGGTTTGGGGAGATGCGAGTCAGGAACTATGGATGAAGACCAAGCATATATGAGAAACATATTTTGGTGGTGCAAGTGACCGAATAGATATGTTAAAAAACAAAACTTCAACTCAATGAATTTGAAGATCTAATTGGCTTTATTCCGTGATTCTCAATCGAGCAGCATCCCAATTGGCACCTGGAAGGGTGCACCCAGGGGCTGTATGAAATGGAGGGATTTTATAGGAAGATGGGTGCAAGGGAGCTACTAGGGAAAGTAAAGAGAGGATTGTTCTCAGGCCAGGACATCTTTGCTTTTCTTTTTTTTTATGATTTTATTTATTTATTTTAGAGAGGGAAGGGAGGGAGAAAGGGGGAGAGAGGGAGAGAGAGAGAGAGAGAGAGAGAGAGAGAAACATCAGCGTGCGGATGCTGGGGGCTGTGGCCTGCAACCCAGGCATGTGCCCTGACTGGGAATCGAACCTGCGATGCCTGGTTCACAGCCCATGCTCAATCCACTGAGCTATGCCAGCCAGGGCAAGACATCTTTTCTTTAGAAGAAGGAAAGCAGAAGGGTTTTTATCCTGGAGATTGTCTTGCTCCTTCTTTTTATGGGGGACAAAGAGGGCCTGTATTACAGGTTAACTTACTAGTGCTTGACCAGAAAATTCCAGACTGGTTAAGGTTAATTAAGATTGCATTTCTAGCCCTGGCTGGCGTAGCTCAGTGGATTGAGCACGGGCTGCGAACCAAAGTGTTGCAGGTTCAATTCCCAGTCAGGGTACATGCCTGGGTTGCAGGCCATGACCCCCCAGCAACCACACATTGATATTTCTCTCTCTCTCTCTCTCTCTCTCTATCTCCCTCCCTTCCCTCTCTAAAAATAAATAAACAAAATCTTTAAAAAAATAATGTATTAAAAAAAAAGATTGCATTTCTTGGAAAGTTTAAAACTGCAATTAGATCAGGTATTAAAACTAAGTGTGGTATTGTTACTGAACAGGGACCAAGCCAGAGCAGGTCAGCCTCCAGCCAGTCTGTAGTGCCTGGGTTCTTGACTGCATGCAGGCAAGACTTCACAACACAAGGCCATGTGATTTGAGAGTACTTTTATTAAAGCTAAGGACTGTGAAACAAGGAAGGTCCTAGGATAGAGGAAGCAATGGGAGAGAGACTAGGTGGGGTTGCTTTGGCTCTTTAGAAACATTTGGAAAGGAAGCGAGCCAGGATGGGGCTGCTGTCAGCCACTAGGGAGTCAGAGAAAAAGGAGTGTTGGAGACAGGGTTGGGGGTGGCGTTTAGCCTAGGATGAGCTGCCGCTGCCCATTGCTCCCCGGGTTGCAAGTCCCATGGGGATCCTTGGAGTTTAGGGGATGTGTACCTGTGGGGGAATTAGAAGGGGATGGGGAAGGTGTAGGTGTGCTCCCAGAGGTTCCTTCCTGAAGGTTTTAAAGGCTAGTAGTTTAGGGGAGGTCTTAGGGAAGGATCTCAACAGAATATTCATCAGCTTTCCCAGGTGTTCCCTTTCAGGGTTGTGGTCCCCACTGATTGGTCAGTGCCAGGGCACAAGGTCATTAGTCATTGCCTTTTGGCCTGGCATCGATCCCCCTGGTTTTGCTGCTTTTCTGGGCCTGGAGCTGAAATGCAACTGAGGCCTAGATGTTATCTCCAGGAAGGAAAGGCCAGAGGGTCTAAACCACATGGCTAGCTAAATGCCAGGGGCAGAAAGTCTACTTGGGGGCAAGGTCCGGCACCAGTTTTGCCCATCACTTGGCACCTGTGGCTTTCTGTATCTGGCTGTAAATTGCTCAGCCAGTTTATTCAGTTGTCTCAGTTTCCCCATTCCACTTGCCAAGGAATTTTCCTAGTGTCCCACTATCCTGCCTCAGTATCATGGACTTTTAGTACTAATAATGCCATTATATTTGACATACATATTTCTTGTAAACCACAGCACCACAGATGTCCAATGTGCTGTGTATAGCAGTAAAGGAGGAACTCACCTTTTCTGAGCTAGAGAGGACCTGGGCTGGTTCTGGGCTGCAGATGGGAGTTGAAGGGAATCTGATGTTGTTTGGAACTGTGTGGGTGAGAAAACGTTTGATTTCCTTTTCTCTCAACTGCAAGGTCCTTCAAAGAACACAGGCTGGGTGGGGTGTAAGAAAATGTAAAAACATAAAGCTAGATGGTCAGCCTAGCTTTACAGTAAAACAAAACAAAACAAAACAAAAAGCTGGCCTGGATAATGGTTTTCTCTTGTACTTAGAGGAAAACGCCCAGTGACTGGCCTGGGACCCCAGCAAGAGGCACTGACTGGAGTTGGGGAGTGAGAAGGGGAACCCCAGGTGCTGATCCAGGGAGCTCGAGCCCTCGGGTCTCTGAGAGAATTGATTTGTCTTAATAAGTAGGCAAGACAGGTGCTAGGGTCCCCTTTTTGTCAAACACAATAATAACTAACCCTCATTTATCACTTGCACTAGGCAGTCTTCTAAGCATTTACCATGCATTATTTCAGTTAATCCTCATGTCACTTCATAAAGTAAGAACTATTATGATACCCATTTCACAGGTAAGAAACTGAGGCATGGGGAAAAATGAGAAAGTGACTCAAGGTTGCTTTGCTTGTAAGCAGCAGCACCAAGTCTTGAACCCAGGTGAACTATCTCTGAAGTCTGTGTGCTAATCCCACCCCACACAGGGTGGCACCTGGGGATTGCCATCTGTCCCGATCTTTTTGATAGGACTTCCACATACCAGGGTAAACCCTGGTTCCATCTAAACATTCTGGTGTCAGGATTTAATCTAGGGAAAAGAACCTTTCGCAATGAGCCTTAACTTCACCCAATGGTCTAGAAAAAGGATTTTGGAACTCTGTGCCACAGGTGCTCTGGTTATTTAGTCACATTTATTACGTCTAACAGGGGTCAGGATTTTTGTTATGGGATGAATTTATAAACACAAAAGTTTGGTTTATTGATAGATGTTGCTGGATTTCCAGGGGAACACTGGTGATCTTTTATTGGAGGCAGAACCCCCCAGGGTTGCCCCTGAAATCCAGCCATGTTTCCAGCCATGGCATTTGGATTTCACTCTTAACAACACTGGGGAAGGGAGAGGAAGGGAAAAGTCCACTTCTCCCAGGCACAGAATTTCAAGAGCCTTCTCCCCTCCAGGACGTAAATCTCAAGGCTGATCGGCACTCCAACTGGGAGAAGCCAAGGTTTGGGCCCCTCACCTCAGATTATTTTAGAATTAATTAGAATTAAAGTAAAGAAAACCTTTGTGAAGTCTTTATTTTGGTTCAGAAAAATATAGGCTCAAACATTTCCAAGAAGTACATGTCTGTCTTTTTCTAAATGCTTCCCAGAGGACAGAGCTCCATGAAATTTCTAGATGTGGCACAGTCATCTCTTCCAAACATCTCATATGAGCTATTTTTCTGCATATGAAAAGACATGTATTGTCCATATTCCTTCGTGGGCACAATTTTCTGAAAATTCAATATTCTTACCTCCACAAGCTTCAAACTCATCTCTAAAGAGAGTACATAGGAAGTAAATCTTTCTTAGGTCAGAACATCCACAGCGAGAGTACCATGATGGCTAGATGCCCAGGCTTCGGTACTGGCTTGGAATTTCAGTCAGTCAGGCTTTAATGCTCAAGCTGGGTGACCATGAACTAGCCAATTAACTTTCCTAAGCCTCAATTTCCTTATCTACAAAATTAATCTAGAAATGGTGCTTTCCTTGGAGAGGTGATGTGAGGATGAAATGAGATTATATATATAAAGCACCTAGTCAAGGCTTGGCACTTATGACGGGGCCAATAAATATGAGACTGTCATTATTAGTTACTATTGGCTGTATGTCTCTGTGGTTCCTAGGAACTTGAACCAGCAGCAGGGAGGCATTGCTGTAGACAAAGCCCAGCTAAGAGAATCAGGGACCAGGAATGTAGTTTCTGGCTCATCTGCTGGTTTATGTAACATTTGTTACCTGTTCAATGATACATTTTTTGTAAGTTATGAAGCATAATGATGAAACAATCACCCATGGAACTACTACTTAACTTGAGTAAACTATTACCACTGTTATTTTTAAAGATTTTATTTATTTATTTTTAGAGAGAGGAGAAGGAAGGGAGAAAAAGAGGGTGAGAAATATCAATGTATGAGAGAAACATCAATTGGTTGACTCTTGCACACCTCCAACTGGGTGTTGCAACCCAGCTGAATGTGCCTTTACTGGGAATCGAACCAGCAACCTTTTGGTTCACAATCCAGCACTCAATCCATTGAGCCACACTAGCCAGGACCTATTACACTACTGAAGCTACTTTTGAGTTCTTTTCCTAGCCCACTCACCTGCCTTTCTTTAAAGTGACCATCTAGAACACAGGCGGCAAACACAAGGCCCGCAGGCCAAATCCGGCCCTCCACCTTGTTTCTACCCGGCAGCAGCACCAAGCCCTCCCTTAACTGTTAAGGGGTAGTTACACTTATACAGTCCTAAAGTTACATTTGGCACTTTGAAGGCAACAACAAAGCTGATGTGGCCCCCAGTGAAAATGAGTTTGACACCCCTGATCTAGCATATTTTAAAGAAATGTGTATTCCCCTAAATGACGATGGATTGCTTAATTTTGCTGGGTTTCGATCTTTAGAAAGTGACACTACACTGTATGAGGACTTCTGTACACCCCTACCTCATTTCTAGGATTGATTTATTCATGTCTTGCTGCTATAAAAAATGCTGCCATGAACATTCTCTGACAAGTCTCCTGGTATGTACTTGTATGTGCAAGACTTCTCTAGGGTATACATGTAGAGTGAAGTCATGTATAGAGACTACAACCTAGAGAGGTTGTAGTCTCCTTAATCACTCTGACTTCCCTTGGCCTGTTTCTTCATTAAAGAAATGCAAAACAAAAACTTCTGGGAGGATTAAGTGAGAATATATGTTAAAGTGCTACTAAAACCATAACACATCATATAATGTCATTTAATGTTTTTAAATAGGACAATAATACTGACCCAATCTTAACAGAGAAGTGAAAATTGGCGAGTGGGAGACTGAAGTTAACATTTACTGAATAATTAGTATTTAATAATAATTATTGGCCTCTTGGCACTTCATTTAATCCTCCCAACAATTTTAGGAGGGGTGTTATTTTCACTAATTTATGAATTAAAATACTAATTCTCAGAGAGGTAAAGTTACTTGCCTAAAATTATGTATCTAGTGATGGAACTATTGTTCAAACAAGGCATAGTTCTACCTAATAGATGTTTAAAAATACTTTGGACATAATAGTTGAATACAAAGGGTTTTGATTATGACATCTTTCAGTGTCTGAGCTCAGGACCCATTCCTTTAGCCAAAGGCATATGTTTTGAGATAACATGGGCTTAAGGGAAGAAAATATGGCTCGAAGAGATACTGACTGACACAAGAGTGAACCAAGACTTGGATGCCAGGCCTTATTAAGGAAAAAGATGGAGAAGCCTAGAGCCCTCAAAAAAAGAAGCCAATGGTTGAAACTGGGGGCATGCTGTCGACTTCATATCAACCTCTTTCCTGTAGCTCTTTCCTTTATAATTCAATGAGCACTTTTATTTTTAAAAAAGTTCTATTGGATGCAGGAACTGTTTTAGAAGATATTTAGAACAGAAGGCTGTAAAAGGCGTCTTCTCTATTCTTTGGGAGATGGCAGTTTAGTGAAAAAAGCAGATTGTAAAAAATTCAATAATGGACTACAACGATAAGCCAATCCTTTAGCAAGTAGCCTATGTATTGTAGTGAAAAATGTCAGGCTTCGAAGTTGGTACATCAATTTAGCTCTGGCCAATTTAAGACTTAGTCTCCGCTACTTATTGATAAAATGCGGGTCACAATACTTACCTTTAGAATTATAATTCTAGTTCAAGATTGTCTTGAGGATTACTGATACAGTAACAAAATTTCCCGGCATATAGATGTTGCTAAAAAAACTATGAACATTATTATTTAATCCTCAAAGGAGGAAGGTGGAGCACGCACGGTTATCTCATTTCAAATGAGGAAATTAAATTTCAATCAGATTAAGCGATTATTCCGAAGTCACCAAACTAGTAAGTGAAGACGCAAACCCAAAGCTTGATCTTCATTAAGACCACAGCCTTTTCTCTTTGTTTAAGATTTATTTATTTTTACAGAGAAGGGAAGGAAGAAAAACATGGACGTGGTAGATCTCTCTCTCCGTTGCCTCTTGCACGCCCCCAACTGGGGACTGGGCCCGCAACCCAGGCCGTGTTCCTGGCCTGCGAGTCAAATCAGCGACTTCTTGGTTCTCTGGCTAGGCACTAGGTCCACTGAGCCACACCAGCCAGGGCTAGATCATCACCTTTTAAAAACCATATTTTCACCTATTTTATGCTTTCCTGTTCGAACGCATTAGGAAGAATGCAGAAGAAAGGAAGGCCATGGAGGGAGCAGGGCTTAAGCAAAGTCCTGACCTCCAGAGTGGTGAGTTTAAGGAGTATTCCAGGAGCAAACGAATGTGGGTAGGTAGAGTCTGGGAAACGGCCCCGAGTCGCCAGGGGTGGGTGTGGGTTCCCTAAAACTAGAGCAGAAGCTCCACCCACGCCTTAAGAAGCTGACTCGGCAGCTAGCGGAAACAAATCGCAGGTATCGACGAGGAGAGACGTTTAAACCAAGACACCTGACGCACGCCACATCCCCACATCACCCAACCCATTTTCGGGGCGGGAGGCAGCGGCGTAGCTGGCCTATCAGCACTGCCGGGGCCAACGAAGTCTCTTTTCCATTGGTTGAAGTTAGGGTGACGTCATGTTTGCCGGGCCGGCCTAGGAAGAGGGCGCCATGATTGGTTGGCCTTGGGGCCGGGGGCGGTGGAGGAGCCTGACGACTCCGGGTGTCTTACCCGTGCTGGACTTTCCCCTTCCATGTGTCGAGGCCGTGGGGGGGGTGCTGCAGAAGTCAGGGAGTAGGCTGAGCAGAAACCTGGATTTGGTTCTAAGAGCCGTGGGGTTGACCGGAAGTGATCTTGGGGCTGACCGGAAGCAAGGCCTGGAGGGGAAAGGGAGTGTGGGTCCCGGGAGGGAGGGGGTTCTTAGCGGCGAGGGGCGGGGTGAAAAGGTGCGAAAGCGACCTGGGAGCGCCTAAGGCGGTGGGTCGCTGCTGTTGGTCTCATTGGGAAGCAGCGAGTGACCACCACGAGCAAAAGGGGAGGCCAGAGAGTGGTAGTGTGGAAGTCCAGGGCTACTTCTGGGCAGTCTGGAATAAGTGAAAGGGCTCTCACGCCGCTCCAGAGCTCTGAGTGGGAGGGACTTTGGAAGTCGAGGCAGCACAGAACAAGGAGCCAAGGGTGCAGGAGATTAGTGCAGGAGGGCTTAGGGGTGGCTGGTGGGTACTGCGTGGGAGATCTTGGTTTGGAGTTTCCTACAGTCCTTGCCCCCGTTGGGTAGAATCACACTGCTCACCTTTGTGCAAGAACCAGTGTCGCCTGGGGCAAGGAAGGAGCCAGGATGGCTTGGGCTCTGAAGCTGCCTCTGGCCGATGAAGTGATTGAATCCGGGCTGGTGCAGGACTTTGATGCTAGTCTGTCCGGGATCGGCCAGGAACTGGGTGCTGGTGCCTATAGCATGAGGTGAGTGAGGTCTTCCCAGACCCTGCACTTTCAGAATAACAAAGGCAGGATAGAGAGTAGGGGTGGCCGTGGGGGGTGGGGCGCAGAGTAGTGTATAGAGTTAAAGCAGCTGTCTGCGTTTAGGGAAAAGGGACTTGTTTCTTTCGTTGCTTTGAGTTGTGAGTGTTGTGAAAGAAATGGCACACGAGATTGTAGGCAGTGTCAAGTCTGCAGGGTCAGTAGAAGAAGGAAGAATGGCCCTTGATTAGCAGCCAGATAAATGTTGAGAGGCTGTTGTGCCTCGGAGAGACTTGGAGACTCGTGTTGTGTGTGTGTGTAGGTTGGACTGGACTTGTACGAAGAAGAGGCCACTTAGGGAGTTGGGGAGTTGGAAACTGGGTCTTAATGATGAATATTGGTTGAATGCTCGTTGGAAGGAAATGTGAGACCTTGGTGAAGAAGTCTGCACGTCTGTATGTTAGTGTCCTTTTAAGGCTTTGCTTAATTCTACGGGGTTTTGAAACAGCTGTGAAATGAAAAGTGTCAAAGAGAGCTTTTAGATACTCCTAGACCTTTCTATATCAAGCCAAATGTTGATGATAAATAAAAGTACCCTTTGAAAACATCACTACTCTTCCATGTAATTCATTTGCATACATCAGCTCCTTCATTCCCCCAATACGGATTGTTTCATTTATAAGATGTGCAAGAATCATGTCTGGAAATGTTGAAACATCTGCATTTTAGGGTTAGATAGAATATAATTGGGTTTCCAAATGTATTATAAGACTTAATCTAAATAAGTCAAAAGAGGCTTTATTTTTATTGTAGTTATTGAGGTGACGTTGGTTAATAAAATTATGTAGGTTTCAGGTGTACAATTCTATAATACATCATCTGTATATTGTATGTTCACCACCCCAAATCAAGTGTTTCATCACCACTTATCCCCCCTTTACCCTCTTCTACCTCCCTCACCCTCCTTTTCCTCTGGTAATCACCTTAGTGTTGTCTGTCTGTGAGATTTTTTTTCCTTAATTCCTTCACCTTTTTCACCCAGCCCCCATCCTCCTCCCTAAGACACTTTAAAACTTAACATTTTAATTGGATTTAGGGGTTTATAGGGGAAAGATGTTTTCTATGGGGAAACTGCAAAAATTTAAATCTTGTATTCTGGTACAGTATTGAGATCCTTTGAGAGTTATGTAAGGTAAATTTCCTCTCTTTATCCCTGTAAAACTAAAATGAACTTTTCTTGTTGAAGTAAAATTATGAGTTACAACTTAGTAAATACTTCACCTTCAGGAATCTTTGCTTATAGTTAGAATAATGAAGGCTATCTGTGTATACAAATTTTTGTGATTTTCAAGGAAATCTGAGTTCTGTCATGCAGTGCTCTTGAGAAATTTAACTCTAGTTTTCCATCCTTGTTTACATAAGTCTGACCATAAAAATAGAGACTAACTAGGTCTGAAAGTAAATGTCTGACCTTGCATGTTGGTATCTGGCATGATGTTTGACAATTTATGCTATTGTTCACACGAAGATTATCACAGCAAAGTTTGTTTTTTGTGAAGGTTATTAGATTTTAGGATGGAGATACTTAATCATAACTGTAGTTGTTATAAAAATAGTAAACATTGTCAACAAACATTTGTGTGTCCACTATGTACCCTCTCTGCTGTATGACCTTCTGTTGATGAGTGCTGTGTTACACCCTGTGTGGTCTTTGTAGGAATTAGTAAGATTGGCTTTTTTTACACATTTAGAATTTTTTTCCAACATCAAATCCACAAGAGTTTTCAAACATTATTTTATGTTTTCTCAAAAGCACAGTGTGCCAAATTTTTACTATTATTTTGTTTTTTCACCGTTTTCATGCATTTTGCTCTTGTCACTATTCTTTTGGCTCTTGCATACATTTAATCATTTGCATTAATTTGTGTTAATTAGATATTACTTCCCAAACTTTACTCTTCATGAGAATTATCTGGAGTACTTATTAAATGTAGTTTCCAGGGTCCCATAGTTGGTGATTATCTGGGACACAGTCCAGAAATCTGATTTTTTAAAAACAGGTTCTTAGATGATTTTGATTCAGGTAGCCCAGGAACTACATTTCAAGAAACACTGACTAGAGGAGTTTTTATAGATGGAGGTCATGGTTTTTTGCTCTTCCTGTTTCTCCTTTTAATTAGACCTTATGATTGCATTTTTACACCTTCAATTAGGGAAAATGTTCTCTTTGACAAGCATTTGTTTTGTAAAATTCTTTCCCTAATGTATTTGTTTTACCCTAGTTTGTTTACTTTAATGATTTTGTTTCAAATCTGTTGATTTCCATTTTATAAAGATTCATCTTAACTGGATTCCTCTTTTTGATTCTTGATCTGCCATCATATTCAGTAATGTTCTTTTCATAAGTAGTCCTTTAATATTATTCTTCTTACTTTTTTCCTTACATTTTAATACATGGCACAAACTTTGTGGTTAAAATAAAGGAGATTCCCTGAAAATATGCTGAGTGAAAGAAGCCAGTCACAAAAGGCCACATAACATAAGATTCCATTTCTATGAAATGTACAGAGTAGGCAGATCTCTAGAGACAGGAAGTAGATCAGTGGTTGACTAGAGCTGTGAGAGAGGAGGGAATGGGGAGTGACTGCTGATGGGTACCATTGTTTTGGGGAGGGGCGATAAAAAGGTTCTAGAGCTGTGAGGTTGCACAACTCTATGACTACCTGAAGACAATTGCGTTGTACATTCTAAATGGGTGAATTGTATGACATACGAATTGTATTTCAATAGAACAGTTATTTAAAAAGTAAAGATTAAATTTTGTTTTAAGATTTTACCTTTTTCTCATTTTTTAAGTTGAAGTGGAATTCACATTACTTGCAAGTAATCGTTTTAAAGCGAAGAGCTCAGTGGTATTTAATGTGTTCACAGTGTTGTGCAACCACCACCTCTAGTTCTGGTTTTCTACTTATCGCCCCCAAAGAAAACCCTCTGCCTGCTCAACAGTGCTTCTCACTTCCCCCTCCCCTGTCTCCCTAGTAACCGCTAATATGCATCGTGTCTCTGAATGGATCTGTTCTGGATAGTTCACATAATGGAATCATAGGATGGGTGACTTTGTGTGTCTGGCTTCTGTCACTTAGCATAAGTTTTCAGGGTTTGTCCACATTGTACCATGTATTAATGCTTCAGTACTTCATTCTCTTTTTGTGGCTGAGTCATATGTCATTGTATGTACATATCACAATTTGTCCACTCATCTCTTAATGGACATTTAGGTCATTTCTACTTTTTGACTTTTATGAATAACCGTAACATAGCGTTGTATTTATGAAGGAAATGACAACAGAATGTTTATAAATATTCATGTACAAGTTTCTGTGTAAACATTTTTTTCTTTTTACTGAGGTATAATTGATGTATAACATTGTATCAGTTTCAGGTGTACAATGTAATGATTTGGTGTATTTGTGAAACAGTCACCACAATAAGTCCAGTTACCATCCATCACCATCCATCGCTGTACATAGTTACAAGAAGTGTCAGCAACATTCAGATGTGCAACACATTGTCACTGACCATAGTCACCATGCTGCACTATACGTATCTTCATTTCTCGGGTATATATTTAGAGTTGGAATTGATGGGTCATATCAATGATTATGATTAACTTTTAATTCTTTGATTAACTTTTTTTTTGGAATTTAAAGACTTTTTTTTAGTAGTTTTAGGTTCATAGCAATAGAGGAAGATACAGAAATTTCTCGCCCTGGCTGGCATAGCTCAGTGGATTGAGCGTGGGCTGGGAACCAAAGTGTCCCAGGTTCAATTCCCAGCCAGGGTACATTCCTGGGTTGCGGGCCATAACCCCCAGCAACCGCACATTGATGTTTCTCTCTCTCCCCCCCTCCCTTCCCTCCCTAAAAATAAATAAATAAAATCTTTAAAAAAAAAAAAAAAGAAAAGAAATTTCTCACATACTTCCTGCCTCCATCCATGTAAAGCCTCCCCTACTGTCAACATCCTGCACCAGGGTGGTAACAGGACCTGCATTGATGAACCACACTGACACACCATAATCACCCAAAGTCCATAGTTTACTTTAGGGTTCGCTCTTCACTCTTGGTGTTGTACATTCTAGCGTTTTAGACAAATTTATAATGACATGTATCCATCATGTCAATACAAAGTATTTTTGCTGCTCTAATAATCTTCCATGTTCTGCCTGTTCATTTCCCCACTCCCATCCCTTACAGCTATTAACCTTTTTGTTTTTATTTGTAAATGTGTTTATTGAGTTTAGAGAGAGAGGGTGGGAGGAAGAGAGAGAGAAAAACGTTGAGAGAGGAACATTGATTGGTTACCTCCCATACACACCCTGATTGGATATTAAACCATCAATCCAGGTAATTGCCCTGATTAGGAATTGAACTCCCAGCCTTTTGGTGCACAGGACTGTGTTCCAACCAACTGAGCCACACTGGCCATGGCTGGCAACTTTTAATCTTTTTACTGTCTCCATAGTTTTGTCTTTTCCAGGGGGTCATATAATTGGAATCGTACAATATGTAGACTCTTCTTTCACTTAGTAATATGCATTTAATATTCCTCCATGTCTTTTTATGGCTCCATAGCTCATTTCTTTTTAGCAGTGAATAATATTTCATTGTCTGGAAGGATTTATTTATCCATTCACAAGGACATCTTAGTTCTTCCAAGTTTTGTCAGTTACGAGTAAAGCTGGTATAAACATCCATGTGCAGGTTTTTGTGTGAAGATAGTTTTCAGCTGCTTTGGGTAAATATCATTGAGTGTTATTGCTGGGTCATATAGTAAGAGTATGTTTAGTTTTGTAAGAAACCACCAAAATGTTCTTCAAAGTGACTGTACCATTTTGCTTCCCATCAGCAATGAGTGAGAGTTCCTTTTGCTTCACATCCTTGTCAGCATTTGCTGTTGTCAGTGTTCCAGATTTTGGCCATTCGGTGTGTAGTATATGCTTA